AATCTATATATACTGAGAATATGCTAATATTGTATTAGATATATAATAAGAATTCAATCTTGATTGAAAGAAGCTTATTGATGAATAATGAATTCAAGAGATATATTAGTTTGATCAGAATGCTAATTATATTCTTATTATATGCTGTATATAAGCTTAAGCTGTATAATGGAAATGCTTAAAGCTAATTTTCCAAATTGATCTTGCTTTCAAGATAATCCAGAGGAATTTTAATATTCTGTTTTTTACAGAATATAATGAATATAATTAATATATACTAAGTATATTCTAAAATCATATTGATTTCTGCTAATATTATATTAGATTCGGATGTTTATTTCTATGCTTTTACTAATCTCAGCACATCTTAAGTATATGCTAAAATCTTTGAAAAAAGCTTTTAGCATCTCGCATACTTTTCAGAACAGCTAGTTCAATAGCATCATATTCATTCTTCCTCTGAAACAGCAATTCAAGTTGTTATAGCTAATATAGATAAAAGCTAAGCTAAAGATATTTTTCTTTATTATTTATCTATTTTGAATTCAATTATTAATATTTAATTTTATAGAATTTAGCTTATATCTACAAAGTCTTGATTTCTTAATAAAATAATCTGAATATATTCAGCATATGCTAGTCTTCTGCGCTGTATATATTCAGCGAAATTTCTTTCGCAAATTTCCTCAGCATCCAGAAACATATATCATTAATCAGCTATAGCAGGCTAAAACAAGGCAAGAGTATAATCAGAATATTCTTAACATATGCTAAGCATATCTCAAGCTTTAATATTAGCTATGCATTAAGCAAACTAACTGGATTGCTGCTAGCTTTGTATCAGCATTAAGCAAAGTTAATTCCATATAGCAAGTATATACTTAAAACAATACTAATATTGGAGAATTAATATATTTCAAGGATAATAATGCAATAAGCTGGAAGAATATACTTCTTTATACAATTTTAAAATATGAATTTATTTCTTATATAGACTGAATATATGCTAACAATACTCTTAATAGATTGTAAGCTTTTGTTAGAGATAAATTGGATTCTTATTAATTACAAGCTGAAACTAGTATTAAAGTTTACTAGCTAAATCGAAGCAATACAATACGAACTAGAAAACAGCTTACTTAGCAAGATAATTGCTTTCATTAGCAAGCTCAGCAGCAGATTAATAATCCTGAAATGCTATAGAATCCTAATAATTCATATAATTCATTGCTATTAATCTATACTCAGTATATACTTAATATAAATCAAGCATATGCTGAATATATATCTAATCTCTTCGATTCAGATATTGAAGAATCTATTATAGTTGCAACTGATAAGCCTTCTGCTACAAAGCTAATATATGCTTGTTATATGGAAAGCATTCGGAGTTCTCAGCGCTTACTTAAATCATTATCTAAGCTACAATCCCAGGCAAGATTTAGAATATCTTCAGCATTATTTTAGTATATGCTCAGCATACAGTTCCTATTGCGTGGAGCAAGAAGAAACTCATATACTGAGCGTATGAATATTATAAAACAAGAGATTGAATAACTTCAATAGCAAAGAGAAGAGCAGAAATTAATAGATTAGCTTAATGAATTATAATAATAGCATGCAGATAGATTATAGTTGGAATAAGAATTGGTTTGATTTGTTTATAAAGCATGCATATGCATGAAGTATATATAGCATATTATATAATTATTTATTAAAAACTAGTTTCTTACATATATCTAGCATAGACTACTATATTCTTCGAATTCTTATAATCAATTCTTTCTTGCATATACATAAAAACTAAATCTTAGTCTAATGCTAAGCATATGCTAAGAAGAGATTTAGTATTAGTTCAGATAATAGAAGTATTCTTATTATTATTAGAAAGAATAATAATCGGAGTATCTATTAAGCATTAGTTGTATATATGCTAAGAGAATACCCTTTATATTCTTATCAGACTTCTTGCTATCTTGCTTAGCATTATCTTTATCATCTCGCTTAGCAGTAGAGCTTTTCTTAGCAGCTATAAAGTATTAGTGCTGCATATGCTAAGAAGAAGTTAATAATTAACTTACTAGTTTTAGTAATATATTTACTACAAATATAGCATTTATCTGAATATTATTAATATTAGTTTAATATATACTTAATATATTATTTACTTATTAGTTGAAAAAGAACTAAGTGCTAAAAGAAAGAAAAAGTTATATTCAGATTCAGAATAATTGCTGCATTAAAACTATAATTAGCATTAATATTATATATACTAAAAATATATTATACTTATATTATAGCTACTAGAAATAGTAGGAGCAGCAACTACAATTGAGATCTGATATAATATTAGCATATACTGAAAAGAAGTTGCAAAAAAAAAAATCTCAAGTAAATTGTAATAAACTAGCTTATTAGCATATGCTAAGCATAAGCATTCTCTCTGAGATTGTAATTATCGAGATGGAAAGATAGAATTTGATTATAGGAAAGTATAAGAAGGGAGTAGTTTTGCTATATGCTTAGCATGAGATGAAAAGCATGATTTGAAAGAATTAAGTAGCAACTTATATATATAAATAAATAGCTGATATATAATTAGCATATGAGTTGAGAAGAACTTATAGGATAGTAGAAGTGAGTGCTATGCTAAGCAGCAAAAGCAGAATCTTCTTGATTAAAAAAAAAGAGAAAGCATTAGCTCAGTATATGCTGTATATATACTATATTGATACTTATATAATGCGCTCAGCTTTATTACAAAGATAAGCGATGAAGTGAGAACTACAGCTAATAATAATCAGCATATGCTAAAAAAGCATTTAGCATATCTCATACTCAGGCTTATAGTTATAACAAGCATTGCGCTAGCTATTAGTTAGAATTTAGCGCTTGAGAGCACTAAACTCATTATCAGTATTGTTGTGGTGGCCAGGGTGGTAGTCCGTGGGACGTGGAGTACAGTGGGTCAAGGGTCCTCATACATATAAAGGATACCACCCACTTTTCAAATTCTTTAGCTATAAGCAACAATGAAGCATCCTTTCTCTTCTTTTCAATTTTGAATCCTTTGGACAGGTCTAAGACAGGTTTTTCACCCTGTTCTTGCGCCCGTGTGGCCTTAGTTTGCTGTCCTCATCTGTACAGGCACGCTTGGGTTGCGCGAGCCCTTGCCCATTGCTTCGGCAGCTGTTTGTCCTTTTTTCTTTCGAGGGCGACGGCGCCCTAGTTCTGGTTCAGTATATGCTATACATATATAAAGAAAATACTTACTTATTGCTAGCAAAGTTGTTAGCAATACTTGTATTAATATGAATAGAATTGATAACTAAAGCAAGAGCAGAGTTAGCATATGCTGAGTATAAGTAGAATTGAAATACTAACCAGCACCAGAATAATAGATACAAAGATGATAGCAGTACTTAGAACAGGGTTAGCATATGTATTGCAGATTGGAAGCATAAACTTACAGTAAGCTGATCTCCGAAGATACAGCTATACATCTAGCTACTACTCAGATCGATATTACAGCTGGATATTGTTAGCATATGCTCAGTGTCAGGGTAAAAAGGGCACACAAGTGAGGTGAAGGGGTGTGAGCTGCTCCCAAGCCGCTCTGTTGATGCTTCCATTCAAAGGGACTACTGAACCTATCTCCCTCCTTCTCTTTTTCGCTGCTGGACCTGTTGTTCCCCTTTCCCTTATGTACATAATTGGCCTGGACTAGATGGGATGATAATGGCCTGATGGCCACGCGGCATCGTACGAGAGCGCTGCTTCGGAGCGAAGCCCTCGCAGCAGCCCTGGACCGCCACCAGGGGTCGCAAGGGCCACCTATTTCCTTTGTGCGCATACAAGCCCTGACACTCAGTATAGTTGGACTATTATTATTTATACAAGGCTGTTGATGCTGAACAAATTAACAGAATTGTGAGAGAGATCTGAATATATTGTTAATATATGCTTAATATGAAATTAGCAAACATGCTTACTAGCAGTATTCTGAATAATTAGAGAAATAAAGCTTAAGCATAACATTAGTAGATTATCAGCATATGCTGAATCTATAGTACTCACAGTGCTAATTCATATTCAGAGCTTCCTGAATAACATCAGGAATCCAGCTATCATTATTATTAGGGATAGAGCCTGTATACTCTTAGCATATGCTCTAAGAGCGCCAAAGTTTGGTTGCAAATGCTTATTCTAGTAATAACTGGCTGCAGAAGGATTAGCAGCATTGATTATCATTACAGAGTTGAAATCAGCAGCAGTTATTGCTATCTGCCAGGCATATGCTTAGCAGGCAATGCATCTATAGCAAGCATGCGCACACTTACCTTAGCGTTCTTGGTGCGAATCGCAATGCAGACTGAAAATATGATTAGCATTGAACCAGAACTAGGGCGCCGTCGCCCTCGTAAGAAAAAGGAACAAACAGCTACCGAAGCAATGAGCAAGGTGTAATGAGCACTGCAGCAATCCGAAGATTCCTAAGTACACGAAGGGTTTATGCTAACAAGAGCGGTATCAAAGTATCAAGTTCTTGAATACGGAACCGTACAAGTCTTAATAAGCGATGCAAGTGTTCACTGCCTTTGGGGCTACTCAGTATGTAAGACTGAATACTTAGATTGATAACTGAAGAGCTATTTCCTGAATCCATCTAATAGTAATGAACGTGTTCTTATATATCCGGCTCTTCAGTTCTGACTATCCTAACTATGTTCCAATTCCTCATAGTCATTTCTCCAAATATGTTGATTATATCCATAGTTAACATAGTTGCGCTAGCAATCCTAACCCTGATTTCGTAATCTTGCTTGGTATCCGACGTTGAGCCGTAATACCTGGTTCTCTGGTTGGTGGGGCCTGTTCTGTGACCTGCATGTTGGATGAGTTATAACATCATCTTCTTCCTATCAGTTGTTGTTCTCAACGATCTTTTGTAAGTACTCTAGCAAGTTCTCCATATGCTTAATCTTGCTTTCCTGATTAAGATGTTGAACAGAATCAACAAATCCTGTATTCGCAAATCTTCTTCCGTTCCAAAAAGTATCCAAGATCAAAACTTCTTGGTTTCTCGCTTTTTGGAAAATTTTATCAAGATGCTTATCTGTTCCTATTGTGAGGAGCGTGATTTTGGGTTCTGCAAGGTATTCTCTGGAGACTCTTCTTGTTGTATTGAATGCATTCAATTGGGCTGCTCCAAGTACGATGTTATAAGCTCTTCTTTCGAGGAGCTTTGCAATATTGCTATCTAATATCGAAAGTTGGAGAATGAGATTAAGAAGAGGGAGATTGAGCTTTTCCGTCTGTACTAATAGAAGCGGATGTGATCTGAGAAGATGAAGCGTGCTCTGCATCGTAGTATTGCTTGCATGGAAGAATTGAATTGTATGAAGGCTGAGGAAGTTGAGGCTGAGAGGGTGCGTGTTGCTGCTGAAGTGCAAGCTGTGGTGGTTGAGGAATCTGCTGTTGTAGCTGAGGATTCTCTTTTTGAAGATTTCAACTGAAACTCCATGGATTTGGGGAGTTCTGTAGTGGATTGGTTGAGCTTTCTGGAGAGTGAGATTTCCGAGGCTTCTGAGTCTTGGTTCGGGATAGAGTAATCATTCTAGGTGCTGGTTTCTTTCTTTTTCTAATATTCAGCTACCTTTTCTGAAGCATTCTTAACGTTTTTCTGTGATTCCCAAGAATTTTCGCTTGCTAAGTAATCCTTTCATTTGATAAGGTATTTTCTTGTACTGTTTATGCTTCTGTGCTTGAGAATCTTTTCTATCTCATATTCTAGTTCGTTGTTTTCCACTTCTGCTATATTATCCGTTAGTATTTTCTATGCTGCTAGCTCCAGCAGTAAGATATAGAAAACCGAATATATTCTCATTCTATAAGATAATGCTAACTTGTAATTAACTAGGGAAATCTGTTGCAAGATTTTGAATGATTCCAGCTTCTTATAATCGAGTTTGTTGCTAGATCTAGTTGTTTTAATGTTTTTTTGAAGTAGGTAAATCTTATCTCTCTTCTGTAGAACTAGTTTCTCAATTCTTTTGGAATTCGCATACTGTATTATTCGTTTCTGAATGAATTGTAATTCTGATTGGAGTTTCTTCTGAACTTTCTTAATTTTCTTAATTCTTTTTTCTGCAGCTTCTATATCTGCTTCTAGCAGTATTTTGTAATAAGCTGTTGAATTATATTTATAGAGTATAAAGAATAATAATTTCTTTATTATGCTTATATCTGCACTATTATAAGCGAATTGTATAAGAAGCAATAGATTAACTCAGTTATTCTATTTCTGATTAATATAGTATTAAAGATATTGTTTAATAATTTAGTTTATTCTTTCTGTTTGCTTATCTATTTGCAAGTAAAATGCTATAAATATTTTGTAATATATTCCGAGTTGTTTTATAAGCAAAGTTCAAAACTTTAAATTAAACTTTCTATTTCTATTAGAGATTATTTCTTCTGATATGCTATAGTTAGCAATAATCGTTCTGAGAAATGTATATACAAGTTTCTCTGCTATACTGCTTTTCTTATAAGAGAGAAAGTAAGTATATTTGCTTAGTTTGCAAACTATTACTAGAATATTATTATATTGCACTTTAATTAAGAGTTCTTATAAGAAAAGTAGCTTAATAATAAAATTTAAACTAATAAATTGCTAAATAGTTATAAGTATTAGTAAGAAGTGCAATAGTTTGTAAAGCTTGTATTTTTCTGCTTTATTCTTTTTGCAGCTATTGTATTATTATAGAATGTTCTTAATTCTTTTTCTAAAGCTTAATAAGTTTTAGTATTTTTTGATATATTTATAGATTGCTCTAATTCTCTAGTATTTATATGCTGATATATCATATATATTCTTAATATAGTTGTTTTGTTCATCTGGAGTTATTGATTCTGAATTCTTCTCCGAAGGTTCAATTCTGAAGATAGCATTTAGCTCTTTATATATATTAACGAGATTTTCCAACTTGTTCTAAGCAAAGATATTCTATATATTTGAGAAGTCTGTATTTCGATAGTTCGATTATCTGCTAAGAGCATCTGCTTGTTTATTTTCTAAGCTTTTGTAATATATAATCTTAAAGTTAAATTGTAAGAGGAATTCTGCTTATCTAACTTATTATTTATTCAAGATCTTAATTATTATAAATGTAGTTAGATTCTTGTAATCTGAGTAAATTATAATTGAATGCTATGCACTAATAAGATAGTATTGCTATTCTTTGAAAGCTTTTACTATTACTATGAGCTTCTGATTAGGGATTTTATAGTTGATTTCTGAGCTATTCAACTTCTTCGAAAAGTTGCTTATAATTCTTAAATGCTCTTAATCATCTTACTGATTAAGTTATTCTCCGAGTGCATATTTCGATGCATTGGTTTCAATTTTAAAAGATTTGTAGAGATTTGCTTTATACAGAATTAGCTCTAAAGTAATATGCTTAATAATCTTATTAAAGGCTTCTTATGCTTTGAAGATTTATTTAAAGAATTAATTCTTTTTGATAAGATTTGTAAGAGAGTATGTAATTCGGCTATAATTTCTGATGAACTGCTTATAGAAGTTAATATATTCGAGAAAAGATCTAATATTTCTAATATTCTTAGAAATTAGCTAGTTTTTAATAGCTTTTATTTTATCTTTCTATAGCTTAATATATTCTAGCTTAATTGTAAATTCGAAATAATTAATCTTTTGTATATAAAAGTAACTTTTAGCAGGTTTTATAAGGAGTTTTGCATCTTAAAGTATTTGCAATACTATCTCTATATATTTTTTATATTCTTTCAATATTCAAAAGAAAATAAGAATATTATTAAGATATGCAATAATGAACTAATTCAGATATTTGTATAGAATATAATTGATTATTTCTTGAAATGAAGCTGGAATATTTGTTAAACTAAAGAGCATAATCAAATATTCGTAGTATTTGTAACGTATTCTGAAAGCAGTTTTCCATTTCTCTTTTTCTTTTATTCTAATCAGATTATAAGCTTCTTTCAGATTTAGAACTATAAACTACTATACTTCTTGCAATCTATCTTATAATTTCTTAATAAGTAGTAATAAATATTAATTATTGATTATAATATTATTAAGTTGCTTATAATTAATATATAGCTTAAGCTTACTGTTTTTCTTGAATATAAATAGAATGAGATATTCTGCTAATAATTGTAATAATTGTATATATTCTTTCTTGAGATTTTTATTGAAATACTTTCTAAGTACTTCTAATTATGCTATATCTAGTATATAGATGAAGAAGAACTTAAGCTGTTTTTCTTCTTATAGTAGAATCTTGTAGTTATATGAATTGTATTCTAGCAATTCTGTATTCAATTCTTTCTGAAATAGTTTCTTAAACTTATAATATTCTTGTAATATATTTGCAAGTATTGGTTCTGATTTATTCGCTGTTTCTGCTATCTGGAGGAATAGTAGGTACTATTGAGCATGCTTCTTTTTATTTGTTGTTTTTGGTAACATTTTTAAGAGCTTTGAATATTCGCTCTGAGCTGAACTGAGCGCTTGAGAGCTTGGTTTCGAGGTTTTTTCTGTATAGATTTACAATTCACATTCTGAAGCTTTTTCTTATTGCTTTGGAGCGAACTAACTTGCTAAGAGTTTCGCTTCTATTATTTTGCTAATCTATTAGTGCTCTAGCACTATTTGAGTTTGCTTGCTACTAGATTCTTCTTCTTAAGCTGCTAGCCTTGCTAGTTTGAAGATATATATAAAGTTGTTTAAAGCTTCTTTTCTTGAGTGCTCTTCAATAACTGGCTTCAATCCTGCGCTATTGATTGCAACTATTTCCCTGAGTATAGCTTGTTCTTACGAGATCTAACTAGTAATCTAATCAATTCGAGAATTATACTTTTTAAGCTATAGAAGTTTTATAATCAGCTTATGCTATACTATATTCATAATATCAAAAGAAGCTCTGATTATACATTCTTGGATTAAGATAAGTAGATAATTAGTTTTTTTATTGATTACTTCTTAATTGTATGCAATAGATTATTCTTTTATAATACTGAGAGTATATAAGCATTTCTTCTATCTTCATTATAATTATGCTTGATTGATAATATATGGGAATATGAAGTTTCTCTGAGTGCTACTGTTTAATAGTGCGCTGTACTTATATTCTTGAATATATATACTGAACTTGATATAAGTATAGTTTGCTCTGATAGCTTTATATAGGAATTATTCTGGTTTGATTGTCTGCAGTTTCTTTACAGGCGATTCTGTTCTTTTGAATTTATTGAGAACTGCTTATCCTTCTGAGCTTGCTTCGCTGCTTCCTAAGCAAGCTTCTTAGCTTGCTTTTGCTTATATTATTATTATTTCTAATCTTTCCTCTATTAATGCTAGTTGCAAATCTTATCATTGATATGAATTATATAAAGCGCTATCTTGTACTGCTATTATTCTATTTTCTTATTTATATATTGTATGGAATAGTTGTTTAGTAGTTCGATATATGCATTATAATACTGCTTATTAAGAACTTTTCTGAAGCGGAATTCTTATTCTTCAATAGCTTGAAGAATTTGCTCTAGTTCTCTAATAAGGAATTATTCGTATTGCATCTTATCTGAGAAATGCGTTTTGCAGCTATAATAAATGCATAAGATTTATGCTAGTTTATAGTGTAGATTGTAGAATGAGCTGATTTAGAAATCCTTGTTTTATTGCATTTTGATGTTTTGCAAAGAGATGTAGATAAAGAGCTTCTCTAGCTCTATTTCATAAACAAGATACTTAATCTATATTGTTTCCTTATTCCATTCAATGCTGAAAGGAAATCTTTCCGTAAGCTTCTTAAGTTTATTAGAAAATTTTGATGAATCGCTAGATCGTTCATTCTAGCCTAATTCTTCTATCATCTGAGAAGCATTCTCAGTGTTGTTCAGATACTTGTATCAGTAGCTAAGAGAATATCACTTCTTATTCATATCTCTTGTTATAGTGCTCAGCATAAGCAATGAGAAATGATGAAGAGTGCTATTGCTAAGTTCTTCCTTCAACGCTTAAATGCTGCATTCTGTAACATTGAAGCAGTTCGAGTTGCTACTACTTGTGGTTATGCTGAGCGTATATGCTCGCCCTGCTATTGCTATCTGCCTGCAGCGCCTAGGTTTCTGAGAGAACTATTCTAAACCTTCCTTACTCGAGAGATATATTAAGCAGTTGTTATTATAGCAGAATGTTCAGCTAAGACTTCTGTAA